ATATCTTAGGCGAGCAGAAAACTTAATTTGGAGAATTCTCACTCTAAGTAAAGATAATGCATTTTACAAATTTTATTTTTTTTTGTCGTTTTTGTTTTATTTTTTTTTGCTTTTATAAATATAAATAGCGCCCAATAAGATTAGACAAGAATACGATTTTTTTTGTAATTATATTGACGCTATTTGTACGTACAAAAATATGAATTATAGTATTCATAAAATTTGAGTTTTATTAATCAATATTCTATGCTTCAATTCGCGCATTAATTCTAAACTATTAATAAATTAGATATTCATTGATACAACATTGCACAATCAATCCTACAATAATGAATAATTTAAACGATTTCTTTAAATCCATACTGCTCATTTGGTCTGACTCTCACTAATTAAATGCTTTTGTAAGCCGTTTTACACCACTACCCGAATTATAGTTATTTCATTGACATTTTACCGATGATTATTGTGGGTTCATTTACATCAGTCTTTAGATGGTCATTTGTGCCATAGTTACCGGAATAGTTGTTTGTACCATGGTTGCTATATGGTCACCTGTGCCATAGCTACGTGGCCGTTTGTACCAAAAAAATGACCGTTTGTGCCATAGTTACATGCTCATTTGTACCATAGTTACCTAGTTCATTTTAGTAAAAAAATGGCCGTTTCTGCCAAAAAATGGTCACTTGTGCCAAAACAATGGTCACATGTGCCAAAAAAATGGCCATTTTGACCGCGTTACCGACAGACAGACAGACACAGGTGAATTTCGGTGTCTAGACCCTAGCCTTTCAGTCTAGGGAATAAATTCCCGCTCTTTTCATCGATTCTCAAGGAAAACAACTATAGTTGATGAGAAGTCTTTCAGTATACAGATGATGCGTCAGGTAACAAAGCTAAAGGTATACGTGAGTTCCACATTTCAGCTCCACAGGAGCTGCGCTAACAAGCTTTTTTTGTAGATATTTCTCTCCGAGCCCATGTAAATATTTTTTGCCTCAAAACGCGTCTGAAACGCGTTTCATTTGCGTGCGAAACGCTAAGAGTGAACGCGTTTGAACGCGTCCCCAGTGAAACAAACGAAGCGTTTAAACGCGATTTATTTTAGAAACGCGTGTGAATGCGCTTCTAGCTTGACTTGCGTTCAAACGCATTTTTAGCGAAAACGCGTCCCAGATGAAACATTTAATGCGTCTGGACGCGTTTCATAAAAAAACTAAAAATTTTGAAAAAAAATATGATAATCCATTTCAGATTCGAACTGAGTTGCCACCATCAATATTTTTTGATGGTCTTAGCCTTCCCTGGCAAATGGATTAGATTTTACCTTAAGCGACGACGATCAGATTTGAACAGATGAACCAGTGATTAGAAGTCGTTCATACATACCGCTGAGTTATACTAACTCGAAATCTTGTCTTATTCAAAATAAAATATATTTGAAGACGAATTTCATCGGTTAAATACTTTATTTTAACAAGATGTATTTTTTTCGAATTCAAGAGTCTTAACACGTAAGATGACTTTTCAGTTATTTTTTTAAATAAGTTTTTTATTTTTTTAATAAAATAACATCTTTTTTTTATCATCTACTACACATAAAAAATATTACGATCTTTTTTGTTGCACTGGTAATACGATAAATAATTTTATCGAAAAATTTAATCAATAGATAATTATTGACAACCAATTTAGTAGAAATATATGATGAAAAGTTACTAATAATATTATTTAAATAGTAGTATTTAACAATATTCTGAAAGGGCATTGCATAGCTGGAAACTATTACAATATTATCTAACTATTTTTCTTACAAACTTTAGAGAAATATGGACTGTTCACCGTATGTTTAATTAAATTTTGTCTATTTTAACGTCATCTCGACATTCTTTATTAGAAGTCTAATGAAGTTTAGATGAATAAAATACATGTAAGCTGATGATTTTGATTATGCAGTTAACTCTTCTAGAGCAGCAATTTTTGGGTAAAATCGCGTCCGATACACAAAAAATAAACACTTTCAAAGGCACTCGAAAATATGATTGCGTCATAACGCGAGCGAAAAACATATTTAAGACAGGTTTGAACGCAGTTCGTAAACAAAATTTTTTTAAACGCATTAAATTTTTTTCAGAAACGTGTCGAAACGCAGTTCATTTTTTTCTGATTGCGTTTAAACGCCTTGTATAGAAAACCTGCGTCCAGACGCGTTTCAAAATTTTTTCTAACTGCGTCTCAACGCTTCTCATATTACACCACGTTTGAACGCGTTCAGTCAAATTCTTATTAAACACGTACAAACGCAATTTCAATATGAAACGCGTTGAGACGCGGTTCATAGTTTTTTTACAATTGCGTTTCAACACGTTGCATACAAAAACTGCGTTCAGACGCGTTTCAAAAGTTTTCTAACTGCGTCTCAACGCGTTTCATATTAAAAATGCATTTGAATGCGTTGTGAAACCGTTTTTAACTGCGTCTAGACGCGTTTTGTTGTGAAACCGCGTTTCAACGCATCGATCTTGCGTTTCGTGATTACATGGGAGATGTTCAAAAACAAAAAACATGGACTAGACCGGACAAAAAATCCGCACAAGAAAAACAGCACTGATCAAGTGAAAATTCGTCGGACAAATCCTTGGCCGAAAACGAATCAGCAAAAAAATGACAATGACAATGAAGATACAGCTTCTGGTACAACAAATACAAGAGAAGGTCGCTCATTAAAATTTGCCAATAATCAATCCAAAAAAAATATAATCGTTTCATACGTAAAAGAGTTTCGACTAAAAACAATCTGATTTTTGTTGGCTAACACAACAATTTGATCGTACAGTTTCAGATCATTTTCAAACTTTAGTTGTACATTCAACTTTTCCCGTCAACTTAGATCAAAGTGATTTTGAATATTACATTGATATGACATTTAACAATTTTTCAGAAGATCTCAGAGCAAGAATGAAGAATTTATATCAGAAAAGTCGTCAAAATCCTATATCGGAAGATACCACATTTGCTGATCATGAGAATGGTACAGTATCAGCGACACTGGTACAAATTTTATCTCAAAAGAACGATCGTAGTGAATTGGAAATGCTTGTTGGCTCGGTTTCTCTTACTCGACGTCCATCACAAGGTTCTAATTTATGTCGTTCACATTGGTAACAACATAAAGAGCAAGTTAAAACAGCTTTATAATATATCTATGGAAAAGAAGCAGAAAAAGAACTAACCCACGAATTAAAAAAACAACTATTGCACTATGTTAAAGACATGTTTTGCACAAGCTTTTCTGTTCTCATTAACATATATAAAAACCTTGCAACATATTCTATTCGTATCAAGGACATGCATTCATTAATTCTTTTTCTATGTTGAATAACATTAGTTATCAGTATCGCTAACTTTGTTCCAGAAACCATTTTAATTCATTAATAGAGACTGTGAACAACATTCAAGAGTTGAAAAAACTCTCTTTCCAATAAAGTAATAAAAATTGTCTGAGTATCAAGACAATGAAAAGCGGAAAATTATTTCCATATCCTTCATTTCGATTTGAAATAATAAAAAAACGATTTGCAATTATATTACCATAGATGGAAATTTAAACAAGATTTGGTGAGCTTCTCATACATGACTTACCGAGAATTTCATCAGTCCAAATCGGCACATTTAATTGATTGAAATAAAAAGTAAAAGATGTATCATGGAAGTACTGGAATAATCTTTCTGATTTAGAGGGTTATCGTCGTGATTAACTTTTTAAATGAGTCACAATTTGTACTAGAAACAATATCCTATAATGAATGTTTGTTTAGATCGTAACTTAATGTCTTATTAGTAGCGTCCATGCTAGGTAGTAACTTATTTATTGTGGACGTGTGTGTGTATGAAGAGGAAAAGAACATGCACACCCCACCACCCTGTTCATTTACATCTTTTGTGAAACCACATTACGAACACGATCAAGGATAGACTTCATTTTTCTGTGTTTTTATTCTATCTAATACAACAATGCTTAAAGTCTTTTGTCTTATGTCTCATCGATCAATAGTGATGTAATCAAGGAGTACCTATGGGAGGTGGAGTCTTTCCACCGGAGCTTTGAGCTTCCCCCCACGCAATAAAGCCACTTCAGCTGCAGTTCACTACCAGCCCTCCAGTGATCAGAGCCCAAATAGTCAATCTCACTCACCAACAAAATTATGATTACGTTATTATCGATCAAGCAAATATATGGTTTTTGTGTATATTTTTATGGCCGATTGTTGTATGTGCTAAATTGTCCTTTGTCTACCGAGTTTTATTATTCAGTATCGATTATTATTTCAGTCGAAGTTAAGGTGTATAAATAAAAATTTAGATATTATTTTATTGTGCACAAGATTTGAGTAAAATAATAACTCTTAGTTGTTTTATTCAACTGTCTAAAATTTCCATATTGAATTTATAATTCATGTGAGTCATTGATAATCAGCAGCTCACTTGATTAAAAAGTGCGAATCAATAGAAATGGTTCAATTCAATTTGTGTATGATACAGAAAACATCAAAAGATTTAATATAGTTTTTAAATTGCTAATAATCTATATTTGTTTAAGTAAAATATAAACCCTTACCACGACATATACCAAGGACACTGTAGTGGAACGTAATGTATTTTTAATCATGTTATTCGAAAAAAAACATTTCCCTTCGAGAAATGGTGTGTCAATCATTCTTAGTAATTCAAAATATTCTGATCTCAAATACAATAGTAAACAGTATTAAAGATGTGAAGTATATCAAAATCGTCAACAATATCGTAAACAAACCCGAGAGACAACTAATCAAGAG